ACAGGCACGCACGCACGCACGCACGCACGCACGCACGTGTACGTACACACGCACGCACGCACGCACGCACGCACGCACGTGTACGTACACACGCACGCACGCACGCACGCACGCACGCACGTGTACTTGCACACGCACGCACGCACGCACGCACGCACGCACGCGCGCACGTGTACGTACACACGCACGCACGCACGCACGCACGCACGCACGTGTAAGTGCACACGCACGCACGCACGCACGCACGAACGCACGTGTACGTACACACGCACGCCCGCACGCACGCACGCACGTGTACGTGCACACGCACACATGCACGCACGTGTACGCACGCACGCACGCACGCACGTATACGTGCACACGCACACACGCACGCACACTCACACGCATGCACGCACGTTTACATACACACGCACGCACGCATGAATGCACGCAGGTGTACGTGCACACACACACACGCACGCACGCACGCACGTCTACGTGCACATGCATGTACGACTTATTCACCGGCGATTTAATCGCCTATAGTGTGTCCACTCGACTCGCGCGATAGAATCGGGCGATTTAGTCGCCCGATTTAGTCGCCCATTTAATCGCCTAGTGTGTCCGGCCCTTTAGAGGAAACGTTTCTCTTGCACACATTACAGCACGACGTTTCGTTGTTTTCTGTACAACAGTGACTAACCACGTGTCGCAGTCGTAGTCAACAACTAACCCAGTTAACAAACAATAGCGAGCGTAACATGCGCAACATCGTGTATTGTTGAACACGTTTATCCACATATTATTTTACTGTTATGCGCACCACACAGATAGATAGATGTTGACAGTGACGCGCAAAACTGATAATGCGCGCGTGTAAATTATTTCTCCCAATAGATGGCAGGAGAGCCTAGCTCATATTGCATAGCCTCAAGAGCAGATAATAAAAATTGTTATTATCTACTCTTGATAGCCTAAGCATTGAATAGACTCTAACTAACTGCAAGCGTAAAAACGTGAGCTCATTATATATATATATACAGGGGCGTAGCCAGGGGTGATTCCAGGCATTCCGGAATCCCTCCTGGTTTGTATCAAAATAGCACATATCTGATACTGTATGTATATAAAAGCATGAAACGAAAATTTTGACGAAGTTTTATTAGTATATAGTAGGTTTGGAATCCCCTCTCTTGGAAGGAATCCCCCCTCTTGGAAAGGCTGGCTACGCCCCTAATATATATATATATATATATATATATATATATATATATATATATATATAGAAGGGCACGACCTCACCAGCGAACTCGTGAAGGCACATGGAGAGAGCTTCGGACCCTATAGCAGCTAGAGCATCAGATAGAGCGGCATATCATTATAGGGCAGAAATGCAAAAGGGTTGCTGCCATATGTACGGAGGTTGCCTGCGAGAGAAGCAGACGCCCACCACCCGCTCGTGGCTAAGGTAAAGGCAGAACCGAAGGGGAACTGGGTGCGATATAACACACATCAACACGATATAATTCGGGTCTTCCCAGTGAGTATGAAAGCGCAAGGTTTCCGCTTTTCATTTACAAACAGGCTCCGTAAGAATGACGAAAACATGGTCATTCATTGTCAGCAAGCTAAACAGGTACATGGAAACACATCCTGGAAAAGAATAGCACACAATAAGAGACGAGTTGTCAACGACCAATTCACTCGTAGCTGTAGTCGTTGGGCCTGAGTAAAGTAAGAACATGCTACACCACTTAACGTACACAGACGTGGAGCATACTGAGATGCTATAAATAACAGCAAAGACGACGTCGACGATGACGATAGCAACGACGACGATGACAACACATCCAACAGCATAGCGGGTAGCATACCCGGAAGTAGGCTATTACCCACTATGCAGCAAGAAAAACAATCTAGAATGCAATCTTCTTCTCATTTAGTTTTATGAAGCTTCCGGTTGCAAGCAGATGTCAGTCAGCTCTCACAATCTCGTGCAGTCCATGAGAAAGCCGTTCTGTTTCAGCCACTCCTCTCTTGTGCGCTCAGCAGTCTGTCGCGTCTGTACGCGACGTCCATTCATCTTGTCGCCATGTTGTTGATCGATGATTGCTGGCGACCTTGATCGACCTCCCTCCTCCTCTCCTTCCTCCTTCTTCCTCTCTTGCTGCTGCTGCTGCTGCTGCTTCGGCTGCTTGGCTAGGACTAGCTGCACGTTCGGCGGTTGATCATGTCCAGCGCGCTTGTTCACGTCGCTAACGCTGGCGATGGGCGAAAGCGACGACGTCGCCGTGTGCGGTCCGCTGACGTACACCCGGTGCGCGTGCGAGCAGCTGGCTCTCAGCGCGGCTCGGAACTGCTTGCTGCAGCATCCGTACAGTACGAAGCTGAAGACGGAGTGCGAGAGGCTGAGGAAGCCCGTCGTGGCGGCTAGCCTGTTGACGAGCAGCCGGCTAGCATTGCTGTCCGTGACGGCGACGATGCGCAGCCCGCGCACGAACGCGTACGTCGCCAGCGGCAGCTCGGTGACGAAGAAGACGACGGTGGCGGCGAGCATGAGAGTCGTGATGCGACACTCGGCGCTCGCACGCTGCTCGCCGCTGTACAGACCCGCGCGCTGCCGCCGCGCCCGCCACAGACAGCACAGCAGCACGGCGTTACTCACGGCGATGACGACGAACGGTAGAATCACGAAGACGATCGCTAGCAGGAGATAGTAGAGCACGCTGAAGTACCAGCTGGCGCCGACGCTCGTGTAGTACATCGCGCCGTAGGTGGTACCACCGTACTCGCAGTCGCGCACGCGCATCTCGGTGACTCGGGGCAGGTTGACGACGCACGAGGCGACGTAGAGGATGAGGACGCTCAGCTTGGCGCGGCCGACCGTCATCGAGGCGTTAAAGCGCAGCGGATGCCAGACGGCGAGACAGCGCATGCACGACAGCGTGGCGATGATGAAGTTCGAGGCGACCTTGAACGTCATCGTCAGCGCGTAGGAGCACATCAACATGACGGCCATCGTCGGCGAGTAGAACAACGGCAGGTGATCGACGACGAACGCCTGGAAGACGCACGGCGCCACGCAGACGATTATGAACAGGTCGCTGACGGCGAGCGCCGACAGGTAGACGTGCATGCCCGTCTGGAAGTGCATCATCGGATGTCGCAAGGCGACGAGATTCAGCAGGTTACCGACGACGCCGACAACGAGCATCGTAATCAGCAGCCATGTGTAGGCCGCCAGGCCGGGCGCCTCGCCTCCGAGTCCCTCCCGCCGCACGCACTCCAGACCGCCGCCGCCTTCGAACGTCACCGTGTCGTTGAGGCAGATATAGGCGGCGATCCATTTCGTACAGTTGACGCCCGTCTCCTTGGCGGCGTGCTGAAAGTCGACGAAGACGAAGTGTTCGACGTCCATTGTCGTCGCTGCGGGCGTCACGTTATCGCCGCCGCGCATAGTTACGGAGCCCATCTCGTCGTCATCGTAACGCGGTGTGACAAACGCAGCCACCCCGCTCGCTGCTGCTGCTGGACGCATCGCTGCTGCACAGTGCGCATGCGCGACGCACCGGGCACAGTGAGTTACAGACGGGTGAAGGAGGAAGAGGGGGAAAATCGAGAGAAGAGGAGGGGATGTGTAGAAAGAGGAGGAGGAGAAGGATGATGAGTATAGGGAAAGCAGGATGGGAGCAGGAGGAGGAGGAGAAGAATGGGGGGGGGGCGAAGAGGAAGGAAGAAAAAAAACTAAGAGGAAGAGCAGGATCAGGAAAAAGGGGGGGTGATGGGTAGAATGAAGCGGAGAAGTGTGAAGAGAGAGAGAGAGAGAGAGAGAGAGAGAGATAGAGAGAGGAGAAAAATAAGAGAAGGAGTCAGAGCAGGGAAAGAGGAGGAAAAGGTAGGAGTAGGAGCAGGGGCAGAGTAGGATGAGAACGGTGACAACAAGAGGAAAAACGGCGCGCAGGGGTAGGGGAGTGTGGAACAGGAAGAGGATGCAGGGGAAGTGATGTCGGAAGTAGAAGAGGATAATAGCAGAAAATGGTAAAAGATAGACACAGGAAAGATACAGAAAAAAAGTTAAGTGAAGGAAGCCACTTACAGAACCAGGATCTTCGTCGTAAACGGAATCGTCGCAGGAGAGAGATGGCTAATTCTGCTTGTTCCCGTAGATGTTTACATTTCATCTGTAGCTCTTTCACGCGCGCACGTACGAGTTGTTAGTGCTAGCTGTCACCTACTGACACACATTAGCAGCTGCTATATCTTGTCGTTCACCCCCATCACACACACACACCGTTCGAGTACGTCGGCCCGTGCGGCCGGGGGATGATGTTAGAAGCGCAGCTGGGCAGCTGAGGTGGTAGCTTTGAAGTGCTTTGAAGTGGGTAGCTTTGCATGAGAACCAACGGCTGAAATACGACTGGACAGACACCCGAGCTATAGCAATCACATCGAGGCCTTGTGCTAGCGACGGCTGCCGTTATCACTCTGCAATCAAAGTTACGTCCGTCAAAATATGTAGCTTCCCGCCGCAATATCGTGCGTGTGTCGAGATCCCATGCGAGAGCCGCGCTGGCCATCGACGGCCATTGTTTCGCACCGACAATCTATTACAGTTATTATATATCCATGACGTGAAAACTTGATTACTCGCTGCTGCCTGAGCAATTAGATAGAAGATTACGTGCGGGTTGTAACGACAAGTGCGCACTAATATGTAGCCAAACTGTCGCCGGCAGATCAACGTTAACGCCCACCTCCCCCTCCGCCAGTCATGACTATAGAGCGGCGCCGTCAACGCATGCATTACTGGTTGCATGAGGGTAGTATCAATATCACGCGCTAGCGTCACGATGTCCCACTCTAGCGTCATAGATATCACACGCTAGCGTCACAGTATCACAGGCTAGCGTCACAGTATCACACTCTAGCGTCACAATATCACACTCTAGCGTCACAATGTCACATTCTAGCGTCACAGTATTACGCGATAGCGTCACAGATATCACACGCTAGCGTCACAATGTCACATTCTAGCGTCACAGTATCACGCGATAGCGTCTCAATATCACACGCATGCATTACTGGTTGCATATCAATATCACGCGCTAGCGTCACGATGTCACACTTTAGCGTCATAGGTATCACACGCTAGCGTCACAGTATTACAGGCTAGCGTCACAGTATCACACTCTAGCGTCACAATGTCACACTCTAGCGTCACAATATCACACTATAGCGTCACAATATCACACGCTAGCGTCACAGATATCACATGATAGCGTCACAGAAATCACATGAGCTAGCGTGAGAAATATCACACATCAGAAGCGCAGCTAACCAATTTTGCTTGGGGAGGGCAGTGGCACGTGCGGGTTGTGTTCTGGACAGGTTACCGTGGGCAATTCCCCATTGACCATGTATCAGTGTCTACATTTCTTTGGGGGTGGCAACTCCCCCCTTGCTCCCCGCTAAATACGGTCTTGCACGCCAAATTGAGAAATATCACACGCCAGTGTCACAATGTCACACGATAGCGTCACAATATCACAGCCTAGTGACACAAATCACAGGTTAGCATCTCAAATATTACAGGCTAGCGTCACAATATTAATATCACACCCTAGCAATACAATATCACAGGCTAACGTCACAAATATCCCACCATAGCTAAACAATAGGCTAGCGTCTCAAATATCATAGGCTAGCGTCACAATTATCACACCCTAGCGTCAAAGATACCAAATGCTAGCGTCGCAATATCACTCGTTAGTGTAACACTATAACTTGCTAGCGTAACAATATCACACCCTAGCGTCACAAATACCACATGCTAGCGTCGTAATATCACTCCTTAGTGTAACAATATCACTCGCTAGCGTAACAATTATCACACGCTAGCGTCACAATATCACACCTTAGCGTCACAATATCACACCCTGTAGCGTCACAAATACCACATGCTAGCGTTGTAATATACACACACACACACACACACACACACACACGTGCGCTCGGACGCCCCTACCGAGCCTATCTTACCCACCCAATATCCTTTCGGGGAGCTTTTATAAAATCCGCCAGCTAGCTTGCGACTGTCACAGCGAAACAATCGGGTCGTTGGTCCTACTGGTCGTTGGTCCTACGGGTCGTTGGTCCTACGGTTCGGGTCTATAATCAGATGACCTCGGAGGCCAAATCCAATGTGCCCATGACATTCAGCATCCAAAGCTACATCTAATGGCCATCCTTGGACATATCTAGAGTGGCCCATATTGATTTGAATCGAGAACAGACAAACAGAGAAACTTCCAAAAATTTGTATTAGATAGCACAACATATCGCCTCCTGTTGGCTGATTTGAATTTTATTAGTGTTTCATAAACCAAGGCGCTCTACGATTATTGAAAAGACGCACACCGAAATATTTATTGTAACAAGCTACCGCGATGAGTATTTGCAAGCAATTTTAAACACATAATTTCAACAAAATATTATATTATTTCCAGGATACTATCGGGAAATTTCACACGACAATGCACCTTGTGATTATTTGTCCGGTTGCCAAATGACTGAACGTTGCAATCGGGTATATACACGGGTTTTTTGTGGTTTCCTGATCTTTAGACTATCCTGAACCAGAATCCACCGGGTGCCACTGTGGCACCCTTGGGCAATTTTTTTTATCACAAAAAAATACACATCGTATAATTTTCACACGACAAGGCACCTTGTGATTATCAACGTGACTCGTGGGTATAAACTCTGTTATCAGAATAATATTTGTTTTCGCACATTCTGCACATTCCGACTTCGACATTAGGCCTACTTGAGAGAAATCGTGTAATGTGTGCCAGCATGCGTTCGGTAATTTACGGATTCGCAGTTCGATTTCGTAGTCGACCCAGCTTTCGGACGTTGTTTAAACTAGACGATACATCTCTTTAGCACAGACAGACGAGGCGAGATCTTCCTTCCGTCTTGGTTTTTTTTCTCTACACTATAACTCGCACGGCCGATAAATCTTCAATCTTAATGCTTGCCAGTCAACTGTGACATCGACAAAAGCAAGCAACCCTTGGGCGGTTCCCTCGTTTTCCATTCGTTTCTCCTCCTCCCGCCCCCTACTCCTCCTCCATGAC